GCTGTTTTGCAGCTGTTGGAAGGTAGATTGACGATGTCTTGCTCCCTGGATTAAGTCGACCACCTATATAGAATGTATAGTGAATCAACATTGCATTCTTCAACGGACTTGTACAGTTACCGTCTACTAACTGCTTTTTAGCATTTTCATTTTCATTTTCATTTTTTTTACAGTTTGCCAACACTCTCGTGCCACATCTCTCCCTTTGAAATAAATTGGAGTGCCTGTATATGGTTCGTATTTTGGTGCAAACAAGATTAACACGGCAATTACTCAGCTTCTCAATGTGTGTGACTCTTCTTACATACTTGGCCTCGGTCAAGATAGTAAGCTGACTCCTTAGATATTGATGCTTGCTCCATTTCAAGGCCGGAAATTTCTTCCTCGTCTCGCGTACTTTTTTTGTAGACCAGATTTGGTAGAATCTTCTATCGGTTTGCAGTTGATTAAAGCGAATGCTATGAAGCAGCGCCAGGATGTAGAATCTGAGCATTGACCTTTGGCGTAGAGACATGCTCTGACTCTCAGGGTTATCACAGAATTATCCCATATACCTCTACATTCAGCTACTCGGAATGGCTCAAATAAAACCTTAGCCATCATGGGGTATATTTCAAATGAAAAGGCCAAAAGATACTCCGTCTAGTCGTACTGTTCCCAGAACCGGCTTTTCTTCATCACTTCTAGGGAAACCTCCTTGGTGACAACCTTACCCTCCGGTGTCAAGTCTAAATATTTAACATTCTTCATCCCCACGGTGTCAATATAGTTCAACACCACTTTGTAATTTAAACCCACCTGGGACACCGCGTGGGCATCGTCCGAGAGACAGAAGTGGCCACCAGCGTCGATAATAGCCCTGGTAATATCTTCCTGTGGATACGGAGTGGCCCAGCCCTTTCTAATGGCAGAAGCGTTAAACTCCACCAAACCTCCGTAAAACACAATGAAATCAATGTTTCTCAACACGGCTTCCCACACGTCTGGCCAATCTCTCTCGAGACTGATATCTTTGAGCAATTTCTCAGTTTCGGTGTCAAACTCTTCGCCTGGAGTAAGCAAGCGGATCAAGTCAAAGTGGCCCACCACTTCCGGTTTTAATCTGACCAAGATCTCGTACTGCAAGTCGAAGTAGGCCTTGTAGAGCTTTCTGGTGGACCCCCCATTGGCCGCCCTCGCCTCCTTCCACATCTTCAAGTCAAAGTCGATAGGGATGCTGGAGACGTAGTGTACAGACCCGACAACCATATCCACTGGGTACTGCTCACGCAACTTCTGGGCATATTCCACGTGCTCCAAGTCGATCCCTTCTACTTCGAACCCCACTAAGAACTTTGTGGGGGAAGAGAGCGATCGGGTTCTTATAGCCTGGGAATGCTTGTGGAAGTTGGCATAATTTTCTGCAAGGTTCCGGATCGTATAGTTCTTCTCTTCTTCTTCCGGATACAAGTGCTTGCTGTGGAGCCTTGGCATGTGTTCAGTGAGACAGTAGGTGTGGAAACCCATGGCAGTGGCCTTGGTGGTGATTGACTCAAGCGTGTCGGTGGCATGAGAGACATAGTCTCCGCTATGGGAGTGGTGGGAGTGCATTGAGCTAGAAAAGGGTCTGAAACCGTGGTTATGGTCTGGGTATACACAGTTTTAGTCGTGAATGTCTGGGATAAACATGAAATACCTCGGGTGAACAAGGCCGTGGAGCAGGGCTTAACTGCAGGTTGATTTGAGGCTAACGCGTTAAGCGTTGGTTATTGCCAATGGAAGAAAGTATCAAAAAGGAGTTAAATTTTGGTGTAAGACGCAAGGGGAAATATGTCCATTGTGTCAACAAACGGAGTAGCAACTATAAAGTGATTTTGCTCAAACAAAATTAACCAGCCAAAGCCAGCAAAGAGGCCGATACCACAACATTCGGTAGAGCCATAGTCGGTGCGTACAGTTGGCCACTTTTTAAATCGCACGTAAACCAAAGTGATGAGAGATGAGTATTCTAGGCGTACAAAATTCTTTCCCCTCTCTTGCATCCTCTATAGAAATTGCAATTCGAATAAGCTCCCGTTGATACACCATTAAGTCTACAACATCCCCCTAAAGGTTACTCCTCTTCATTAGATACCTGCTTATTCCAGGCGGCATTGTATCTTTCCATCACTTTCTCCGGTTCTCGCAACTTATCCCTGCATGCTTTCTCAAATGGTTTCAACGTCAGGTATTCTGAAAGCCATATGTGGCGAAGGACCCGGATCACCTGTCCCCTGATGGCATCCACGTCCAAGACGAGTCCCTGGGCTCGGAGTTTTGCTAGATACTCTATCGCCTTCCATGGCTCAGAAGGAAAGCATCTGACCCCCCAGATGACAAACCGCCGTTGAAAATCTACCCCCAACACTCTTTGCACCGGGCGCCGGGCGTGTGATTCGCTGGTGTGGAGGTTTTCGGTGCGTAATTCAGCAACAAGCCAACTGGAGATTTTGTAAGTCATATCCATGTCTGATTGGTAGCCCACAAGACGGAGGAGTTTCTGCCAGAGGTACGGCTCGATCCTGGATGAGGTTTTGTGGATGCAAAGGCAGATCAGGACGAGCTCAAGCACGTCCACTTTGCAGTTTTGGTGGTCGTTGAGAATGTGTTCGATGACTTTGGTCACCTCTATGGGAGATACGCCGGAGACACCGGTCTCCAGTAAAACCTCTAGCCTGGCAAAGACCTTATCATAACAAGAAAACTCGAGGAACGCTGTTGCGAGTAATAAGACTGTCTTTTCCAGAATCAAATCCGGGTGGTTATCGACATACTCTTCGATGGAGGTAACATGGTGGGTAGACTTAGCCTTGGTTGCGCCTTCTATCATCCCTGCCAAAACTTCGTTTGTAACCTTTTTATTGAATTTTCGATCGGATTTTCGGTTATTTTCACAATATTGCGACGGCAGGCCACAGATGTCCCTCGTCATGGCGAGGGCAGTGTCCAAATGGCCCGTGGCGCACATATCAAGGATGGCGAGCTTATAGTAGGTGGCTGTTTTGGGGAAGCCCTGCTGGAGGTAGAGACTGGTGTTCTTACTAAACGCTGCTTTTCCAACCGACCGAAGGCATCGTTGGAGCAAGGCGTTGGGGTTGGCAGTAATGTCTATATGTTTTTCGGCTATTCCGTCTATCACGCTTAGGGGAACCTTGGGGGAGTGGAAGTACACAAACGACCAACAGTCGTGGCTCAGGAGGTAGGGGTGGGTCTGAAAGAGGCGTAGCACCGCTTTGAAGTGCTTCGGCTGACTTGTGGCGAGCATTGATGCGGTTAGAATAATGTTTTGCACGGTCTTGGGCACCATCCAGGCTAAAGCGGTATGGGTCTTTATTCCACGAAGCAAGGCGTTGAAGCCAATCCTGTCTCGGTTGCGGCGCATCGAGTTGACTACTTTGTTGAGAACAAAATTTTTGTTGGAGTCTAGGGGGAGATCGCCGCTTGCGATGAGGTGCGTTTGCCAGGAACAGAGAAGCTCCGAGTCTGAGACGTTGTCATAGAGAAACTCTAAGAATCTGGTGTGAGGGGCACTGAATCCGTCTGCTGAAACGTCCAAGGTGGCGTGGATTCGAAGCAACGCGGGAATACTCTCGGTATTACGGTTGATAAGGGCGAGCTGAACGAGCTTTAGCCAGGAGTCGGGCTTGTGCACGGGGTAAAGCATTGAATGTGCGGTAAAGGCGTCTTCAAACCGGGAATTGCACCACAAGAGACCCACCGTATTCTCGTAGAAACCAGTAACCCTGGGGGATCCTTTTGCATGGAGAAAGATGTAAAAGGATTGGAGTTTGGATAACGCGCGTGGGTCGGCCATGGCCACTAGGCAGCTTTCAGCCCAGAACGCGGGTGATATAGGGGTGGGATACCTTCCACCGGGGTGTCATTTACCACGATTGTGTTCCAGAGCCGCGTCACCTCCGGGCTGGCAGTGGGTGGGAGATTGAGGATGTCCCGGATAACGTCAAACTGTATGGGGGTGTTGTATAACGAGACGATCTTAAGAGGATCACTGAGGCGAAGTCTGTCGTATAATTCTCCAGACATGGGGCTTGGAGGGCACGTGATTTCATCTTGGTTATAATTGAACTTTCGAGCCTCCTCTGAAGGCTGGACTTGCTTTTGAAAGACGAGAGATGCTCGATCAGGATGTTGATCCCTCTTGACAGGTGAGATAGCACCAATTTCTCTGCTTACCCTCCCAGGGGGTTCCTTTTTGGGGCAGAATACATGTTTTTGGATTATATCTCTTGTGATACCTCCTACCTCCCTTTGTGTACCTTTTCGTCGTGGGAGCATTGCACTGACATCAACACGTTTGGCATGGGGATCGGCTCTGAAGCTATCTACAGATGGTCTTTCTACCGTCTTGGCTCCACAGACAAAATTCTCAGGCGTAATTGTGCCATGCAAAGATCTGAGAATAGCAGTATTTGAGAAACAACGTTGGAGAGTACCATGGTATAGGTTTAGGAATGCGGCTCTGTTTGTGATATGGGGTTTACCGGCATAGCTGTGCACTGAATGTCGAGAAAGTCTGAGCATAACACGGGCATTATAGATGTCACTTGGGCCTCTGTGGTATGCCTTTTACTTATGGAATCCTTGGGTTGGAGGGTGATTACAGATCTTAGGTAGCGAGGGTGATAGAGAACTGAAAAATTCTTGGTGAAAAATTGTTACCTGCACCAGCGACACTAGATCCAAATTATCGAAGTGCTGACCATGCATGCGGAATCGTAAATCCATAGTCAGAAGTTTATGCCTAGTTATCCGATTTTTTTTTATAGACCAGTTAACCGAATGGAATGAATAACTAATCCCGATTCATCATATATTAGAGCTTCCAATACTTGCACCTTGTACTTTGACTTGACATTGTGAGAATTCATGCACTGAACTTAAAACCTCTTTCCTGCCTCGATGTATAGATCTTGAACAGGTTTAATATAACAATAATTTTTTGCCCAATGCTTAAGCCCATTTATGATAGCAGTAGACCTTTTTCCACCGTAATCGCATCTACCTATTAGCTTGCTCTTATTACGAACAAGCCGGCACAAGGACCTTACAGAACCTCCAGCTGTCACATGTGTCTCCATGCAGGCTCACGTTGCTTTTTTAGGGCTTGCGCAGATTACCGCCATTTATCGATATCCACGCCATATATCCACGTCTCCTTTCCAGCACCCACCGACTCTCGTCCAAAACTACAGCCCTTCTATTATCATCAACTCAGCACCTTGATGACATCCCACGCGGTGGACATTCCGATCACGGACTTGGACGATGACAACGATTACCTTCGCCCCGCACTGATGTCGGACTTTGACGACGACTACTCCATCCCCACGCGCGAATTCACCAACTTGCCGCCCCAGTCGGGGAAAACTTCCAGCTTTTTTGACAAAATCCGGTCGATTTTGACGCGAAAGAGCGTTCAAGCGCTGCCGGAGTACTACGAGCTTCAACATACGTCGCAGTTCGCCACGTCAGGCTCGGAGAGTGAGCACGATTCGGCGGTGGACCATGGACAAAAGGTGGGCAAGCTCCGGCCCGACCGCATTCTCATGCTCATTTTCGCGAGCTTTCTCTTTCTCATTTTTGTGTTTGCGTTTGTGTCTAAGCGGAATACTGAGGGATATTCGAAACCGATATTGTGGAACGGGACGACAGAATACTATCCCACGACAATTATGATCTCGCTTGACGGTTTCCATCCGCACTATATCAACTCCGAGACGACGCCTCATCTTCACAAAATGATGGCGAATGGGTACGGGACGCCGTACATGGTCCCGTCCTTTCCCTCCTCTACGTTCCCCAACCACTGGACGATGGTCACGGGGCTCTACCCCGCGGAACACGGTATTGTGGGAAACACGTTCTGGGATGCCGCCAACCACAGACAGTTTGTGAATACGAAGGCGAAGTTGTCGCTTCCTGAATACTGGTGGGGCGGCCAGCCCATCTGGCAGACAGCCAGCTATCAGGGCGTGGAGCTGGCCGTGCACATGTGGCCTGGGAGCGAGGTCCGCTTCAAGAACGGAAACCCGATGATTGTGGATCAGTACAACGGAAGTGAGGTGTTATCTCGAAAGGTGGACCGAATGCTAGGCTGGTTGGACCTTGACATCAGCAAGCGGCCAGAGTTGATCTTGGGCTATGCGCCAACAATTGACACCTTGGGACACAAATACGGAGTTTCTGGAGAGCAGCTCAAAGAGGGCTTGACCTACGTTGATACGTTTATTGGCGCCATGGTTGCGGGGATCGAGCTGCGGAACTTGACTGGCATTGTGAATTTGATTGTGGTTTCCGACCACGGGATGGCGCCCACTAGCAATGACCGCTTGGTGTATTTAGACGACATCGTGGATACCACAAAGATTGAGCACACTGACGGCTGGCCCCTCTATGGGTTGAGACCGTACCTGAAATACACCGTGGATGAGGTTTACCAGGAGTTACAGTCAAACGTGAAGGGGGATTCACATTACAAGGTGTATTTGCGGGAGGAAATGCCTGCGGAGTGGAATTTTGGAAACGTCCACCGGTACGAGGAGCGAATCGCCCCTGTGTGGGTGGTTCCGGACGTGGGTTACGCCATCACAAATCATTCCATCATGGAATCTCAGGGAAACAACTACCATCCGAGTGGAATCCATGGGTACAACAACACGGAGGTGTTGATGCGGGCACTCTTCCTCGCCCAGGGACCGTATTTCAAAGAAAAGATGGGCAGTCCCCAGATGGTCAAGCCGTTCGCAAATACCGAAATCTACAACGTCATCTGCGATACGCTTAACTTAGTGCCGCTGCCAAATAACGGAACCACCGCCAGGGTGTTTAGCCATGGAAACGCATTGGGTGACTGGCAAGACGATAGAGCTTACCCAGATGTGGCGTTTGCCATGGACTCAGTGGTGGGCAACGCCACGTATGATATCTTGTGGGGGAAAGCAAAGGGTTCTAAGGCTGACAACACCGACACAAAGACCGAGAAGAAACCTGCGATGGAGTCATCATCTTTTGAGCCGGATACAACGCTTTCAAGTGTGTTAAGGTCTAGTCTGACCAGTTCCAAGGCTACATTAACTTCTAGTCCAGTTTCTAGCCCGTCTACGTCTTCCCCTGCAAAGGGCGGATTTTTAGAGCACTTAGGAGAGTTATGGGACGATGTGGAGGGGTTTTTTGGAGACGTTTTTGGGAACAATGCGAAAGATGACAGCGATGCCACCAAGGATAAGACGGAAAAAGTCAGCCATGTCATTGAGGATAGTGTGGACAAATTTAACGATGCCATTGAGGATGGTGTGGAGGCAATCGGAGAAGCGTCGAAGAAGTTGGGACATAAATTTAAGGAGGGCTTTGATAAACTAAAGGGCGATGATTAATGGATCCAAGTATTGACTTCTCTATCCCTTGAGTTAAAAATGTCCACTGGGTGTAATTATAAGTAATTTTCGATATGGTTTATATAAAACTGTCTACGTAGGTCTTTGGAAGGTTTCATTTGACTAATTATATGTATGTTTTTTTATCGCCGATGATACCACATATAGTTACGGCTGCCCGTAGCCTGTACGCACCTTCGCTCATAACCACACCAACCTGAACCGCTGTTTGGTTAAATACCAGTTGATCTGGCTCTGGCTCACATTTTATACAAATCCACCTGCTTAGCCTAATAGATATGTTTCGCCTCACCAACTCTATCTGCAGAAACACTGTTTCCTTTGTAAGGTTGCAATCCACCGTTGCCTACGAACAGCTCTTGGCTTCCTTCAAGAGCGACTTGAAAAAGGCCATGATTGCCAAGGATGGCCCAAAGTAAGTATCTCGTGCCTCCTATCGTATTATATAGACACTAACCTTTAGGAAAACCGCCATTAGGAATGTCATGGCTGTTGTCAAGAACAAAGAGTTGGAAAAAATGGGCAAAGAGAACAACGAGTTTGCCGCCTTTGACATCCTTAGCAAGATCGCCCAGCAGAGACGTGACTCTATCCAGCAGTACAGCGACGCTTCCAGAACCGACTTGGCGGAGGCTGAGGAGTACGAGTTGACCGTTGTGCAAGAGTACTTGGCCTCGTTGCCAGTTATGTCCAAGGCAGAGATCTCCACCAAGGTTACTGAATTGATCAACCGCTTGAAGGAGAAGGCTGGCGAAAACAAAGTCCAGATGAAGGATGTCATGCAAGCGGTGAATTGGAAAACCCTCCCAGCCGAGTGGAAGGCCTCTCCGGTAGCCGTCAAGGCTATCATGGCCCAGCTCCACCGCGAGTTGTGCTAATCTAGCAGCTCAGCACTGTATATAGACGTCTACTAGAAGGTAACATGTATGAAATAAAGGTGAGATAGGAGAAAAAGCGGAAAAGAATAGAATCTGGTGTAAAAGGGTATTTGTTATTTTAGCAAGGAAGCTTCCGGACGCATCACTAAGATATATGGAAAACTAAGCAAGCTCCAACCGTTGCCAACGTCTTTTAGCTAAAGGATTATGGGGTACCAGTTGGGATAATGCAAAAGTCCAAGTAAATCATAGTTATGTATCGTGGGGGTAACCGTGAGAGGTGGAAGAATGTATGTGTTCTGTTCGTATAAAACCAAGGATGGTCAGGAAACAATTCCCATTGGATATCCCATGTCGCCATGTGGTAAAAGTTGTCGGTGATATCCAATGTGCTTTGAAAATCTTGAGGCACTTATACCCGCATTTGTGGCGCGCTGCATCTCTGAGGCTTTATGGTCCCAAGCCGTACTAATTGGAATAAAAGTAGCTGGAGAAAACAAACTGCGCGCTTGAAGCACTAACACCTCGTCATTGCTGTTACATTAATATGCGTGTGCCCAAGGGCTTTCTCGGAGTCTGCAACAAGAAATTCATACGGGAAATGCAAGCGCTTGTCGTAGTCTTTGGATTGTTGATGCATCTAACCAAGGCCGAGCTTCCTCCTCCTACCAATCTACCCATTTCTCTGAGCTCTCAAGGGGCTTCCTTTATCCCTGTGGACAGGATTTTAACGAAATTCCATGCAATTACCCAAGGAACCACCACCCTCTCGGTAGATACTTTGAAACCGGTACCGACTGTTCAAACTAAAATACCAGTGTACCCCCTTTCGCTCAGAGAATTTCTACCTTTGAATCCACAGAAGAGTCGGAATCAGCACGAAAATGTCTCTTTCAAGAGGTACCTACGGCCGCAGGTGTGGATTGGGCTGAGGTATCGGAGTGTCTGTGATAAAGTCAAAGGGGCCGGGGGATTCTATAGCCCTGTATTAAAGGAGGTTAAGCCGCCTGTTCGGTTTAATGCGACACGAGTGTTTTCTCCCTTTGGAAGGATCCCCTCTCAGGTGGAGCTGATAGCCGGACCGCGGCCCTTGGAGTAGACCTGACTAAGCTGCCTGTTTGTGAAATCGGCATCTCATCTGAGGAATCGTATTTATAAACTAAACTGAAATTAAAATCCCTCAGTCGTATTAAACATATCTTGTTCACCTTGATTTAGTGCCCGAAAGATAAAAACGATATCCTCGAAATTTGTAGCGACGTCGCTTAGTCTGATCCTATCACTGGCTATCGGTATGTTGCTAGATATAACGGGGTATATTGACAGTGATTTTAGTTATTTCTGAGAAGGCACCCATTGCCGTCGAGTTATTGTATATTTTCTTGGCTGTTGAGATGCATTGTCCAGATATGAAACGACCGCTTTGCAGTGTTGCCCTAGGGCCAGGCCTATGGACCTGCAGTCTTTTGGGTCATTGTAAGAGCAGAAGGATACGGTTTTAACTTTGCGCAAGCTTACGTTGCCGTCTCTTTCTCAGGTCTCATCTAACTGATACTATGCTGCCGTAGGTCGTCAGAGAGAAGCTGGTTAGGTTATCTACATGCATCGCTAAATGAGCATCCGCTATGGAGTCATCATTCCGGGAGCGTCTTTCAAGAGGGCTGAGGATAGGAGTATTGCCCATAGCTCACTTCTATCATTATTTGTAATGTTGCGTGTATGCTACGCCAAATCATTCATGCCCACAAGTATCTGTTTACACGCTGTTTCGAATCTCTCCTCCCGTGGTTAGGTACGTGCGTCCATTGAGAACGCTACAGCCAATCCCGTTTACTTGATTAAACGCTTCCCACACAATTTTGATATAAAACCACGCAGAGTAAATGCAATAACTATATCCCTCTTATGTCACATCACACCTACTCAATTTAAATATAATACGGGATGCCCGTGGAAGCCATGGGCAGCTCTTGAGTCGTGTTGGACACCCCTAATTAGCGTACGCTTTTCGCGACAATCCTGACATCCACTTTTTTCGTTTTCCGTAACATGAAGGAAGATTTTTCTGAAAGCAAACCACGCCGTTTCTCCTTCAGCAACGCAACTAAGCAATCAATCACGCACAATGGTTGAAGTAAGTACAGTCAGTCTACCCCCCATTGAAAGCAATGCTAACACTTCCAGGTCAAACGTACAGTCAGAGTCACCACGGAACAGCACGTGAGAGAAGACATTCCACAACAGCAGGAGGGGTTCCCGATGAGAGAATGGTCCATCACCGTGTCGATGCTAGATCTGAACGGCAAGGAGATTCCTGCCACCATTTTCGACAAGGTCACCTACCACTTACATCCCACCTTTGTCAACCCAACCAGGGCGTTCAAGGAGCCGCCGTTCAGAATCACAGAGGAGGGCTGGGGTGAGTTCGACATGATGATCTCGTTCCACTTTGTGGGCAAGGGCGAACGCAAGTTAAGCCACGACTTGAACTTCTTGAAGGAGAAGTACACCGTCGACCACGTCATCTCCATCCCAACCAAGAATCCCGTCTTGAACAAGCTTCTCTTGGAGAGCGGCCCGGTGCCAGGCTTCAACCCGGACGAGGCCGCCTTGGGTGACAAGAGAAAGGGCGAGATTGCGGCGCCTGCCAAGACCAAGAAATCCAAGACCGCCGCTGTGAAGGGAAACGTCGACTTGGAAAAGTTGGCCAACGGTTTGACCCGTTTAGGCGAGGACGACTTGATTGTGGTGGTGCAAATGGTCACGGATAACAAGACCGCGGACATGAATATCAAAAACGATGTGGATGAGGGTGAGTTTACGATGGATTTGTACACGTTGCCGGACTCGTTGTTGAAGAGTTTATGGGACTATGTTGAAAAACATGCTAAATAAGAGTTTGTATGAGCGCTTGCGCAATTAATGTTTGTTTATTGATGAGTGAAGAGCGTTTCAGGGTCATTGTGATTTCTAGGGATGGGTTAGGATAGGAATCAGGAAAACGCTAGGCATACGGAGCATAAGGGTATTCGGAGGGGGTGCTCCGGGAGGGAGTCCACGGAAGGATTCACCTAAAATTAATCAGTATAATATGTATGCCCTAAAATTATGTCACCCATCGTCCTTAACAGTGCGACGCTTCACGTTAATTTTAGTACTGGGATTTACATCCCCCTTCATCTATCATTTATATACAATCCCTATGCAAAAAACTTTGCGTACTTCTGTTTCTCCTTGTTCTTCTTATTCGTCACCAATGCCTCGGCGTTCTGGTACTCCCGTTCGATTAACGCATCACCTGGAAGCAACTCATTAGCCTTACGCAAGCTCTTGACAGCGTCTTCCACCTTTCCCAACTTAACTTGCGCAGCACCGCCGCGAAAATAGGCTTTGGCCAACTCGGCTGGCGTGGTGGTCAAGATCGCTGGATATTCGTGGTTCAACTCGATGAGGAGCGTCGCGTAGTCGTACGCCGTTTGATAGTCCTGTAGCTGAGTGCAGACCAACGACAAGTTGAGATACAACTTCTTCTTCATCACCAAGTACTTAGCGTTCCACTCAGGCTGGTCTTCACCGGGAATAAACTCGTTCACGTAGCGCAACGCTTTCTTGTACTTGAAAAATGCCTGCTGGGTCTGTTTCTGCTTGAACAATTGGGTTCCCGCTTCCTTGATGATTTCTGCGGCTTGGTAGACCGATTCGCTCGAGTCGGGGTTAATCGTCTCGTCGTCGTCGGGGTACTCCTCGTATATGTCCCCGGCGAGGGTCAGGTTGCTGCAGTTGTACACAGGGAGCGCGTCTCCCTCCCGCCAGTCGCCACAGTCGGTGATAACTACACGTTCTTCCCAGTTAGGGAGGTTGGTCTGAAACGTGCGGACCCTTTCCATGTCTCTCACAACAGACTTTCCGTGGCAAACCTGTCCGAAAACTGTGTGCTTCCCCGTCAAGTGAGGCGCCGGGTAGGTGGTGATGAAGAACTGAGACTTATTGTGGTTAACGTCCCCATCGTTCGCCATAGCCACCAAGAACGAGCGATCGATTGCCTGGGTCAAGTTTTCGCTCTCAAAGTTCTCTCCGCTTCGGAAAACGGACTCGCCGCCCATCCCCGCGTATTTGTTCTCGAGGTACTGTTCCTGCGTCGTCACCTCGCGAAGATCCGCAAGGTTCACATCGCCACCCTGACACATGAAGTTTTTGATCACACGGTGGAAGTACGTGTTCTTGTACGTGAGCGGCCCGCCCGAAACGAGCGATGTGTGGTCTCCGCGGCAAATGTGCTGAAAGTTGGCGACGGTGTTTGGCGCGAGCTGCTCGAAGAGCTCAATTACCACACGTCCAAGCGGCAGGTCGCCGATCTGGATATCGAGAAACACCTTCGGGTGGATTTCTTCGAGCTTTAAAGACATTGGGAGGGTGCGTGTATGTGTCGAGGGAAGATCAGACATCCGTAGAGAAATCATCTCATCGGATATCGAGTTGTGCGTATTGTAGAACTTTCAGCACACGTGATATAGCCATTAGCCTGCATATATTCATCCCACGTGACCTCTTCAACATGAACCACAAGTCAAAGTTAAACGGAGTTTGGGCCGGCCACCGCTTCTTTTCCTCACCACATGTTCAGACACCGACTCCCATCTTTCACACGCGGTTACTCCGCGGTGGCGTACACCGACTTACTCAAGAGCGCAAAGCTCAACTGCTCGGAGCTTCTCTCGAAGCACGACCGTTCGTCGTTTGTGCTTGCGCACTACGTGCCCGAGCCCGCGCGCGACTGTTTCCTCGCGTTGCGCGCATTCAACCTCGAAATCCAGAAAATCAACAACGGGGGTAGCAACTCCAAATCGGTGGCCTCACGTGCCAGTAACCAGCTCTCCAACACGCTCGGCTTCACCACTGCCGACATCAAGCTCAAGTTCTGGAGTGATCTCCTCGACCGGATCTTCCAAGATCCACACAACGACAAGGACTCGATTGGTGAACCGATTGCGATTCTTATCCGCGACTGTCTCAGAGAAGAGTTGCCTCTAGACATCTCACACTTCCAGACATTCTTGCAGACAAAGAAACACAACTTGCGCTCCAACGGGTTCAAAACGACGGATGAAATCTGTTCCTACGGCGAGGGAACCACGTCCCAACTCAATTACTTGTTACAGGCTGCGTTGCTAGCGCCGCATATCTCGCCATCGGCCATCCACTTGCTTGAGTACTCGACGGGGTTGCAGAGCAAGCTCTCGGACATTGCAGCCCATTTGGGCCAGGCCACAGCGATTGGTAGCATGATCATCGGGACCGGCTACTACGCTGCCATGCGCAACCAGGTCACCTTGCCCGTGGACGCGATGACCCAGAGCGACTTGTCCCAGGAGCACGTGCTCAGGTTGTTCCAGGGTCACTTAACGAAGGAGAAACAGCCAGAAGACTATGTTTCAGTGCGGGAAAAGTTGAAGGAGGTGGTGTACCAGACCGCGATTATCGCTAATGACCATTTACTCACGGCCAACACCAAATTGGCCGATGTCAAGGAGGAGATCAGGGCGATTGTGGAGGAGAATAAGGGCGACAAAGTGTTACAGAACGGGTGGAAAAGATGGAGCGGCGGTATTCCTGACGCGTTGTATCTGCCGTTCATGATCGGCATTCCCACCAAGTTGTACTTGGAGAGGTTGGAGAAGCAGGGCTTTGATTTGTTGAGCCCGAAGCTCCAGACCAAGGAGTGGAAGTTGGCGTGGAGAAGTTACCGAAACTATGCCAAGAGAGTTATTTAAGCGAGTGCTATGTCCCGAGCTAAGAACGAAGACTAGCAAGTCTGGAGATTAGTTTACATGTATATAGTCAAATACGGGTGTATATCTGAGGCTTTGTAGGGCCAGGTCATATTCGTGCTCCAAGAGATCCATCGTGGTATAGGATATCTCTGGAGACGGGGGGCGGTGAGCTACGAATCCAGGTGTCATAAGACAGGGTTAGATTATTCTCAGTCATTTAATTACAAGTATACATGTATATTGAGGGATAAATTCTCAAGGGAAAGTATAAGCAGTATCATTTACTATTTCTACACATACTCGCTGGTTGAAAATTATGCCTGAAAGGAAAGTTTAAAGTACCATGGCCGTAAGTTTCGATGGTTTATTTTTACCTCTACGTTTTAACGTTGGAAAAATATCATTCTCAAAAGCTCCATACCAAAAGGACGGTGCTGGTAAAATGGTACATGTGCCTTCGCCCGTACTCCCCTCTGCTCCGTGCCGGTCATCCTGCAATGGGCAATTTTTCAGCCTCCACTCTTGTGCGGTGGTGGCCACGAGTGATCTGTTGCTGTGACATTATTCTAATCGGCGGTTTGTTATCGGAAAGTTTTTTTTTTTGGAAACCCCTTTTATCCCTCATTCAATCGTCGTTGTTTCCCACCCCAGCACATCGAAAAGTCCCTGCCCAGCATTCCAGTCACCTCACTAGCCCAGTTCTTGTATCGTGTTTATCCAAAGTCCTAATCTAATCAAAAGCAGTACCACATCGCTCATATTGGACCAAATCAACACAAGCCACTGGATCTATAGGACTGATATCAAGCTGCAATCGGACTATTTTCATCTCTCCGATCAATACCTTGTTCAATCCTCCCAGATCTAATCATCTACCATTCGACCAGTCCCTCCAATCGCTAGCATTCCCTTCATTTCGCCTATCCAGGCCTTTGCATGTCACTTATCTTTTAAAGAAGTACTATATATCATGACTATCGCTCGCACAAATACCCCAGGGAAATCGGTCCCTGGAAAGACAACCCCGGGAATAGCGGCACCCGCGTCCACGCCTGCTTCCGCGTTTCCGCGCGCGGCGTTCGGACCGTGCTCACACCTCACGCAGGTTCTCGGCACCGCAACGGTGCGCACGCAGTTTCTTAAACAGTATGCGCTTGGCGTGCGAGTCGCAAGGTTTGTTACGCGTGGTGCAGATGCGACCACTCTGGACCACGCACTCCAGGCCGCGCGCGCGGCGACGCTCAAGTGTCACGAGTGCGCACTGGCCACGACACTCCTCTTTCTCTGTCTCCAGTGCTCCTACATCGGTTGTGCCGCACACTTCCCCCGCCACACAGACACTTCGGGGCACGTGTTTGCGGTGGACATCCTGACGGGGTTTCTCAAGTGCTTCAAGTGCGGCGACTTCATCGGCGCGCACGACCTCGACGCAAACGCCCATGACGACACTAACTGGATTGTGGAGCACTCACGCCTACCATCCTATAAGGCCACCACGGGTCTTCGTGGGATGGTCAATATGGGTGCGACGTGCTTCATCTCCTCGGTACTTCAGACCCTCATCCATAACCCTTACGTGCGCAACCACTTTCTTGCGGGCAGCCATGCGGACTGCTGCGTGGAAAACTGCATCACATGCTGCGTGGATGAAATCTTTACCGAGTTTTATTCCAAGTCTGAGGTCAACGGCTATGGGCCTACGCGGTTGTTGACAGTTGCGTGGAAAACCAAGCGTGCGCTAGCGGGCTACAGCGAGCAGGACGCGCACGAGTTCTGGCAGTTCATCGTGGATGAAATACACCGCGCACGTGTTCGTGACCACGCAAAAGGCGCGCACGGCGAGGTCTGCGATTGCATCACTCATTCCACGTTCCGTGGTGAGCTCCAAAGCACCACCACGTGCGGGTCGTGTGGGGCGAGCACCGTGACGGTCGACCCCATGCTCGACCTCTCACTCGAGATTCCCGCATCGCGTGCGCCCACACTTGCGTCGTGCCTTGATAAGTTCACCGCGGAAGAGCATTTGGATGTCCAGTACCCGTGCTCGCGTTGCGGCGAACGCGCACGCGCGATTTCAAAGCGGCTCCGCGTGCAGACGCTCCCGCGAGTGTTCGGCGTACAGCTCAAGCGCTTCGAGCACAACGGCGCGTCTACCAAAATTGAAACCCATGTCGCATTTCCATTGTTTGTTGACTTGGCACCGTACACGCTTGCGGGAGAGACCGCGACGTACGAGCTTTTCGCCCTTGTAGTTCATATCGGGAGTGTGCTGACGGGGCACTATATCAGTGTGATCAAAAGCCAGGGCCAATGGTTCCGATTGGATGATTCGATGGTGGCGTTGGTGACCGAGAAGGAGGTTTTGCTGATGAAGGCGTATTTGTTGTTCTATGCTGTACACGTGGTATAACGAGTGTGAGCTTAACAAAAACTTGTGCGAGCTTAGCCGCTCCAAGTTATATTGGATATATATCTTAGGGGTGCCTTCCTTTACCATATAATTGCATGTCTGTGGCCCTCTGCTATAAGTTACGTCTGTAGAGACTTGGTTCGTAATAGATTCACAAAAAAAAAATATATATATATAGAGAATACTCGCGTAGCTGCCTATAGCTTGCACAGTGCCAAAATATGAGTTATGTAAATCACTCCTGGTAGTTATAACTATCCTAAGACAAGTAATTTCACCTTGAGATTCATAGGAATAGGACCAATAATGGCACTGGCGTCATTAATCATAGAAATCATCTTCGCTATCCACGTCGCTCCCCTTCCCTCTGAGCGACTTCTTCTGGAACCGCATCCTGTACCCCTCCTGCTCGTCCTCATCCTCCTGGTTCATCACCAATCTCGAGTCCGAACTCTTCACGGCCTCCACATCGACCAACACCTTCTCCACGTCTCTCAACGTAGTGGCGTTACCCCCAAGTTGTGTCAACGTGATGTACTGCTTTACCACATCCCCATTGCGGTACACCAACCACGTCGGACAGTTGGCTTCAGGATAATTCTCAACCGCACGGTTCGCGGCAATATCACAAAACTTGAGTTCCGGATACTTACGCGCGAGCTGCTCCTGCAACGCACCGAGCACACGCGACTGCAAGCTCACCAGTGCGGACATGTGACAGAATACAAACCCCGCACGCGATGCTTCCGTGATCTCGCGCCCGTAGTCGGGCTTTGCAACGGGCACCACCGCGCCAAACGCCGAACGCGACTGGAGCTCGGCGATTTCCTGCATGCGCTTGTGCTTGTAGAAGTTGAGAAACTCCTCATCTTCCTCATCTTCGAGCTCCGCGAGTTCATCGAGCTCCTTGTCCTCTAACCGGTTCTCGTGCTGCCGCTGCACCGCTGCCGCCAACGCCTCCTCGAGCTCCGCTGTCGGTGACGGCGCACGCTGCGGGATGATTCCCTTTGCACGGAGAATATCGTTCCATTCCGTATCTTCAGACTCATCGATTTCAACGGGAATCGGAATGTCTGGAATGTTCATGGTGTGTGACTGTAGTTGAGGGTGTAGCTCGAGCACATCTCTGTGTCGACATTTATGACTGAAATATCCGGCATTATCCTGCTCATTGTGAACCGAGTCCATCGTGCGGCTCTACCGCAGCCCTCCTGGAAACAAAGGAGGGATATGTCGCCGAGGTAGAGCTTGATAACTTTCAGAAATCGTCTTGCTAGTTATCACTTGAGGGTTTCCGTTAAAAATTTCCTCGTTTGAAGTAATAAAGAATATACAGCAGGGTTGGCAAGGTGAGACGGTGGCAAAGGCTAACACTGAACAACTAGAGTTTAATTTTTGTAGTTTACATTGTCACGGTCTTTAAGCAAAATAAATAAGAGCCATATATACCCCTGGTAGGAAAACATTGTTATCCACCATAGCGTGAACTGGACCGATTATTTATCGGATATATTTGAGAAAGCGCTTACCCCGTCAAGTATTCCATGGTTGAATTCTCGACAAAATCTAAATAAAGCCATCGAAGGGAGTATCAATAGGTGTAAGGTCATACACATTTGTAATCGGTTTCTATCTAAAATATAAGACGTAAATATCCGTGTACCACGCTAGAATTGATAATATTATTCTCTTTTGGTGCAGCCACCCCATAGTCTCCTCAAGTCCTGCATATAGCCCATCAACATGAACCGTAACGCGCAGAACGCGTTTAAGAGTCTCCGTTGACGCTGATTCGGCTTGTGCTGATTCGGTGTGCACTGATCTTAGAACATCTCGCTGCTGCCTTGTCCCATGTCCGACGAACTCAATCTCACATACTACCCTCTCCACGAATCTCTCGCATCGGAGTTTGACAAAATCCGTGTGGGAACAAGCACTGCGCACAACCTCAAACAGGAGATGGAGGACCTCCTCCGCTACTCCATGCTGTTCCTCGAGACGATAGCTACAGACGCGATGGGTACCAGTCTGCAGGACGGACCGCTGGGCGAAGAGCTTCTCAAACAGGCTAGTGAGATGCTCGTATCGATGCAGACCACACAGGACGCCCAGAACAGCATGTTTGCAGCAGTCAGCCAGACCAAGGCCACATTCCGCAACACAACCCGTGAGGAGCCGCCGTTACAGTTGGAGTACCTCCAGCACTACCAGAACATCCCCTTGGACGAAACCCATCGCTCACTAACACAGATGCTCGACGACCTGCTAGCACAGCAGCCGGCGCCCCAGCGCAGCGCCGCACTCGAGGAGGACATCCATTTCTTGAATAATGCCGCGTTTGTGATCCAACACCCGCTTGAACCACTTCCAGAGACCGAGGAAGACGAAGACGACCTTGCGATGGCCGGTGGGAAGGTGGACTTGTACGACCCGTTGTTACGTAAGTTGTTTGTGGACCCGTACTACTCCAAAAAGTGCCGCCACGTATTTGAAAAAGGGCCGGTACATGAGTTGATGCGCCAGGAACATAGCAGGGAGATTGACTGTCCAACGATGGGGTGTGGGATGCGCATTTCGGCCAAGGACTTGGTGCCCGACAAGTTGATGAAGTTGCGGGTTCTCGCGTACAACCAGCAGCAGAATGCGAGCAAAGATGCCGAGGAAATGGTGAAGTTGTAGGAGGTGAAGTTGTATAGGTGTTAATGCGTACCAAGGCGGTGGAATTAAGAGCGGATTTGAATTGAAAGTTGGCTGTGTGCAGATTAGAGTGTAGTTAACCAGGTTTGTTACGAGAAAGGCACTGTCCGATAGGTTTAGAGACGGGATTTGACCAAGGAGAGGCGTTTAGGATGGAAACCAGCCTGGGTAAAAAAGGGGGTTGGAACCAACGTTCATTCCGCCATGCATTCGGTCTCATGGTAAGAGTTATATGTTGCAAGATTGAAGGATATTAATGTGGCTAAATTTCATATGCAAGGGCATAAGCTTCCGCCGAGATAGTATATTCTGATAGACAGGACTAACCATATCATTTCAGCGGATTTACCTCGACTGTCATATAAAGGTCGTCGAAAGGATTAAATACATACCGGCTTTCAAGTCCTTGCGGATATCTGGTTTATTGACTATTTCAGAGTTATAACCTTTCTCAACCAAATTGCTTGCTTCTTGGATATTGTTTTTACAGACACCTCCAACGAGTATACCCGTACAAGCCTAGCCAATTACTCGATAAATGGAGAATTTTCCCCTATTCTTGATGCTTCTTTCCAGCCCTCATACAGTAAAATCACCCTCCTCATACATCTTTTCTACAGCGTCATGAAAGCGTCTTCGGGCCTCCAACCGCTTCGTCTTGAGGGAAGGTGTCAACAACCCGTTTCCTATAGTGAACCCAAAGTTTTCACCCGTATTTCTCTCGCCAGTTTCGGACGTGTGGTTGAAAAATAGCCAGACGTTCCGCACACGCTCCATCTCATTCAACGCTGTAGCAGCACCAGCAACGTTTTTGTTCATGTGCAGCAAAATGACTTTTCGTAACTCAATGTTTGCGTTCAATTCCATCAGGTTGGTTTCATCCATAAAACGAATCGCAGGAAACTTTTTGGACAGGGAGGACTGCAACAACTCCAAGCACGCGTTCTCTTTGAGGACAATGATGGCCACCAAGAACGATCGCAATGAGTCACCATACACATATGTCTGTGAGGTAAATTGGGAGTTGGCTTGCAAGTAGACGTTTTCCACCTTTTCAGGAGAGATGTACTCTCCGTCAGAAAGCTTGAAAATGTTCTTGGCGCGGTCGATGATCTTGACGCGTCCATTTGCATCCATGTTGGCAATGTCCCCTGTTTTGAACCACCCGTCTTCTGCAAAAGCTTCTTGGGTTTTTTCGGGATCTTTATAGTATCCTCTCATAATTTGGGGGCCGCGAAGATATAATTCTCCCGATTGGTTCTTTTTCCAGGTATATTCCATCTCTGGTACGTCCTGGAGTTTGATTTCAGTTGTGATGGTTACAAACCCCGAGCTTTCCGGGTACGAGTTATCCCCCGGAAGCAGGGCCGTAACAGGGCCATAGGACTCAGTCAAGCCATAGCCTTGAAGCACCTCGGTGTTGAGAAGATAGCGTAGTTTTTGAATGGCGTCGGGAAGCATAGGCGCCGACCCGGTGGCTAACAACTGTATGTTATCCAACCCCAACTCCGCCTTAATCCTTTGGGTAAACCGGCGATCGTACAACCAGTGGTTTGTAACGTGATTTCCAGAACTAAACTTCTGTTCCTTATATGCGATACACCTCTTGTGGAGAACTTTGAGCGCTATGTTCAGGGATTCGAGTTTGGTGGAAATTCCCGCTTCTATTCTATTGAAGATTCGCGGTACACCCGCCATATGTGTAGGCTTTATCAAGGAAATGTCTTGGAGTATCTGTTTGCTGTCATTGGGCACCGACGGGAGATAAACCGTGCCCCCAAAGCTAAACTCAAAGTGGATCACCTGCCTCTGGATAATATGGGCTAAGGGTAAATAGCACAAGGATCTGTATTGACGTATACGGGTGTCAGGCTTGGGAGTAACCGTATAAAGAGACGTAATCCCTGCCACCGCATTGCCGTGTGTTAACTCTACCCCCTTAGGTCTGCCCAGTGTCCCGGAAGTGAAGGATATGGTGTGTATCGAGGCAGCAGTTGGGGGTATGTGTGCTGCTGGCTTTCTGGCTCCAATAGCGGTCACCTCGGCAAAGGTTATCAACCTCACCCCCCATTTCTTCGCCCGCTCTCTCGTTTTTGGGTCAATCAGCAGTAACAGTTCTATCTCGGTGATGATAATTACCTTCACACCATTGAGGTGGTTGTTCCGCAAGATATCCACAATACAGGTAACCTGTGCAGGAGACACCAAAACGGCCCGTGTCTTGGTGAGCTCCAAGATGAAAACAATAGACTCCGGGTCCAACGTGTCATACAACGGAGTTGTCGGGATGGAGTAGGCGATGCAGCTCAAGTCAGCAATAATCCACTCGAAGCAGTTAGGGGCATATATGGCTAACACGAACGGAGTTCTAATCAGACCGCTCTCAGCCAAATCAGTGTCAAGCAAACATTCTAGACCAGAGCCAAACCAATCCCTGATCCTCCCAACCTCTAAAAAAGTCTTAAGGCGGTACGTTTGCTCTTGAGGACTCCTAACGGCAAGACAGTGGTTTGAGGGAAACAACGCTATAGCACTGTTGAAAAAATCGTAGAGGGTTGTTATTTTGGGATGAATGGAGGTGGCCAAGCCCATGCTGCGGCTGAACTTGTTTCTAAACACAGGGGAGCCGTCCGCGCGGGCGGTATTAGGTACTGCAAAGCAGCCTGCAATCGATTCGGGATTCAATGGCAACATGGCCAAGACTGATTGCATGGAACTTTCGTAAGAGGAAGCTGCGGATATTAGAGGGTGTGCCTCTAAATGTGAGGGTTCTGGGAGTGATGCCGGCATCAAACTTTGAGTAAAACGGATTCTAAGAGGAAAGGAAATTAGTTTCTAGTGTATAACTGGGGGGACGAAAAATGTGAGTTTGGTAAACTTGGAAACAGGACAGATATAAAGGTTTTGTAGAACCTATCCGTGTTGCCCAGTGAACTTTTTCGGAGATGTGGAGAATCATTGATGCTTGTTTGAGAGTGAGGCGTCTGATGCGGCTCAAGATGCATCCCCTGAGATGCAAATGGGTGGTGTCGGTTCAAAATCTTTGGTTGTTAAAGATTAATTAGTAGCCACCAGTCTTTTATTTCGTTGTTCTGGAGGGAACCTGCTCCGGTTTGTGTTGGTTTCCGGTGTAAATATAAATGGCACGAGTGATGGTACGGGTGCTGGCATGGTTGTAGTCAACCCTGAAGCTTCTGTCCTGCAAGCCTTGCATATACCTCCGCTCGTATAAGTTCCAGCTGTCCACATACTAGTCTCAGGCGTCGATCCGCCTCTCGCACTCAGGGCCCCTATCCTCAGTAACCGGCATCTTAAAATGTAGCAGATAAGCGCGTACAATAGGTTTAGCGTACTGTGGCACTTTTTGGTATAGATTTGATTGGATGGGGCGGGGAGTGCACAGAAGTCATTTTATTTCAGCCCTAAACTATAAAGTTGCCTTGGCAAGCGCCTTCTTATTTAAGTATCAATAAGCATTTTTTTTCATGTAGGTAGAGAAATAGTCTTGGGACTTGTGGGGGCGGCTTATCTTACATACGATGGGGAATATGTGAGCAGGCTTGGAACTGCTTAGTGCTGGGCTTACCGAGCATCTTTGTGTATCGCTTTGCTTATAACAATTGGAGATCGAGATTAATTTTTAGTTTCTTGTGTACAGCATAACTGGCAATAATATATTTGTTGGCTCAACCCAGGGCAACCCTTGTTACGATGTCGCGTAAGGGAACGTTGACGGGCTGTTGCACCCACGGTATTAACACTGTTTCCGGACAAGTTGCGCCAGTGTAAATGCATAGCACAAATAAATCTTTGAAGGTTAAGGGAGCAAAGGTAGGCTGTTCTAGATAACTGGTGGAGGGGGGCATAGATATATGTTACTAAATCACGAAAATTCGTCATTGGGTTAGCTGCCAGGGTAAACATGCACCATAAACATTTGCAGGTTAGATATGCCACAGGAGGGGTTTTCATTAGCGCTGTGTTGGGGTCTTGGTCAAACTAGGTACATGCAAGACTGAACAGCAAACAGCCTAAATTGACTCTCCGGATTCGCATTTTGGCTCCGCTATAGATGTGTCAGCCGCCAAGCACGATAAGAGTATTGTTGGGGGGTATAACTAGTTTGAACCAAATTCTGAATTTTGGAGGAACCACCACCAGTTTCTATCAATTCTAACTGATATCAATATTGGTTAAGGAGTTTACGACCGTCTTGTTAATCCTAATAATGACTCTGAACCTATCATGTTTGTCGCCCCGTGGACTGCCCTATTGTATACGTCTAGGCGGTCTGTAACAGATACATAGGAAGCAGAGCTAGTCTGTTTACATCATAACCTTCACTATAGTATCTACATCTCCTCTTTCATCCTATCTCGTTACAAATACTGCTTCAATTTCAGTTCATATTCACGTTTTTAACTATATCATGGTATACTCCACGTGTTTGGAAGAATGGCACACCCAACCCATCCAGCCATAACCTGCGCCGCATACTTCAACCTTTGGTCACGTGCACACCAACCGCTTTTCTTTAACTGCCAACATATACCGCACGATTTGCTGCCGCCAACCGAGGCTCATCATGCTAAAAAATCTCTCGGGATACCGGAGTTTGATTACCCATTCATTAATAGCCCATATTTATCCCAAACTTCTCTTTCCCCTCCATGTTCTCTCGAACGCTCATCTCCTTCAGGACCGTGCTGGGCCGCCGCCAGGTCTCGTTCAGCCTACCGCCCACCATCAACCAGCTCTTCATGAACCCACCGCCTGCCAACACCGAGATCACGACCCAGGGGTTGGTCAAGGCCATCCGTGTGTTTAAAAAGGTGGCGTTTATCGACATTTCCGATGGCCTGAACCACCATATGCTCAACGTAGTGATACCCGATCCGTCGCTCCTCGCGAACAGCGCGCTAGAACTCAAGATCGGCCAGAACATCCGCGTCTGCGGAACCTGGACCGAGTGTCTCAAAGGCTCGCAGTCACACGAGCTCCGCCTCAATGCGGTAGATGAAAAGGTGGCTATTTTGGGCGATGTGCCGGCCGACTACCCGCTCCAAAAGAAGTTCCACTCATCCGCGTACCTCCGCAAGGAACTCCCAACGTTGCGCTTCAAGACGAACAAGCTCTCGTCAGTGCTCCGGTTCCGATCGCTTGTAGAGTCGGAGCTTGGGGCTTTCTTTGCGTCGCACGATTTTGTCAAGACGCATCCACCGTTGATCACCAGCTCCGACTGTGAGGGTGCCGGTGAGCTCTTCCAGGTGGAGAGAGCTGCCGCAAAGGGCAAGTTCTTTGGTAAAAACGCCTACTTGACTGTGTCCACGCAGTTGCACCTCGAGGCGATCTGTATGGCGCTTAACCGCGTGTGGACGTTGTCGCCGTGCTTCCGCGCCGAAACCTCTAACACCACGCGCCACTTGAGTGAGTTCTGGATGTTAGAGGCGGAAGTTTCATACGTGGATAGTGTGCACCAGGTGACAGCTTTGGCTGAGGCTATGATCAAGCACGTGGTGCGCCAATTGCAGCAGGACGGCCCGGGGGGCGTTGCGGACTTGGAAAAGTCGCGATTTAGCATGGAGGAGATTGCGGTGATGAAGCACAGATGGGAGACGCTTCTTGCTGGTGACTGGCCATCCGTCACCTACACCGAAGCGGTGACAATTTTGGCGAAGCAGCACGAGCTGGTGCCGTTCATGTACCGGCCAATGTGGGGCGAGTCCTTACAAACAGAGCATGAGAAGTGGCTCGCGGGGGAACACTTTGCGAGACCAGTATTTGTCACCGACTATCCCAAGGCGATGAAGCCGTTCTACATGAAGATCAACGACGCGTCGTTGCCGGAAGCGCAGCAGACCGTGGGCTGCTTTGACTTGCTCGTACCTGATGTCGGGGAATTGATTGGGGGCTCCATGAGAGAGCACGACTACAGGAAGTTGCAGACGGAGATCATGCGGCTCGGGATGAAGCCAGAGGAAGTGCAATGGTATGCAGATTTGAGAACCTACGGGACGGTTCCCCACGGCGGGTTCGGCATGGGGTTTGAGCGCTTGTTGTGCTACCTTGCCAACATAGAGAACATCAGGGACGTGATTCCGTTCCCTAGGGCCGCCGAAAGCTGTGTGTGTTAGGTCTGGATCCCTATTATGATTAGCCCCAGGACAAAAAGAACGCTGTATATATTTAGTTCAATACCGTCCATTCCAAAATGTCAGCGTAAGACCTCAATGCAGTTATGTCACGGATGGGTCTAATGATTACCCGGAGATACATTTAGCGAGATATTCTGATTGAATTAATTGGAATGGTCACTAAATATAACCTACAGATAATAGCTGGCCGTTGCATTAGGATATTGCTCAACTCTCTGTAGAAGGGTATCGGTTTATACCTCAAGTAGAACACCGATCAGGGTATGGGCTAAGATCTGAATCAGCAAGAAGCAAAAGGGCTTCGCCACGCCTCCTGTTGATAAACTGTTACACGAATATAATAGTATATCCAAAGTAAAATATCTCTTTAAAATGTTTCACCTTATTCAACCCTGAGTCTCCTGGATGCAACATACGCGTAAACCGCTTTCCCGCGAATTTATCGCGACAAGTGAGCGAAATAAATATCGATACAAAAATATACACCCACCACAGATATTCCTCATACACAATGGATGCTCTGCTAATCGTCAAGGAGATCGCAGTGTTACAGACTGTCTGGTTTTTAGTTTCATCTTTCTACGAACAGAGCAATTCCGGTCTAGCGCCAACGATATACACCGATGATGAGGTCTTGCACATGGTTAATTACAACCATCTTTTAAAGCTCCACTCCCTCACGCTTCTGTCGCAAGACATCCAGCGTATCTTGAAATCCCGTTTGAAGATGGAGTGGCCTCGGGAAACCGCCATACTCGCACACATAACCTCTGACGAGGCCAGCCTCCGCACGACATTGGACGAGCTAAAAGAGCTCGTCTCGTCGAGAGTGCACAACTTGGCCCTAGATCTTAAAGCGTATGATGAGAAAACGGAACCACTGGAGATTGAGGGTGCAATGGATACTGGATCGCCAGAAGAGCACTTTGTGGATAGCGAGAGTGTTTTGGTACCCGAAGAGTCGGAACCGCTCACACCTGAGCCGCTATCGCCGGTGTTGGAGGCCAGTCAGAGCGATGTGCTTTCCGAGACACACATGCCGGTGGAATTTGCCGAGTCCGTGACCAGCCCACTTGCAGATCCTGAGACAAAAAGGGAGGAAGCGAAGGTAGACGAGGAGGAAGGTGAGGAAGAGGAAGATGAGAAGGATGGCGAGGAGGATAAAGCAAAAGTGGATGAAGTGGCAGAGGATGAAGTAGCGGAAGACGAAGAAATAGGGAGAAATGAGGAAGGTGAAATCCAAAATGAAGCCGAGGCTATGGAGGACATAGAAATCAAGGGTGAAGAGATCACTGTTCCTGTTATCAATGAAACCATATCTGAAGCCACAGAAAATATTCTAGATGGGGAAACCCAAGTTGAGGTGAAGGAAGAGGCGAATAATACCGAAAAATCAAAGCCTGTGGGACTCGTTGACGAGCACAAATCTGAAGCTGAGATAGAGACTGGTTCCCAGGAAACCATTCCAAACAGCGTTGAAGACTCCCAGGACGTAAAAGAAGAACTTGATGACAGAAAAGAAAGGGTCACCTTCGAAGCGGATACCCCTGAGGAGGCCACTACTGCCTCTCAGTTCAACGCTAGAAAGCGCAAGTCAATGACTCCGCCGGCGCAATCGAACAAGCGGTTCCAGTCGATGGTCAACCAGCTTATCACAGACATCTCTGGTAACAAGTACGCCACCATGTTCCTACAGCCTGTGAGCGAGAACGATGCGCCGGACTACTACTCGCTTATTCGCAGTCCCATTGACTTGAAGATTTTGAAGCAAATGGTCAAGAAGCAGGAGATTACCAACTTTGTGGAGTTCGAGCGGAGTCTAAGGCTCATGTTTGCAAATGCAATCATGTACAACCATGAGGACACCGAAACGTATCTGTGGACTCTCCAGATGATCAAAGACGTCGACATGATGTTGAACTTGTTCAAGAGCGCACAACGTGATGGCTAGCGCTGTTAAGGCGACCCATTCTATTAAAGATGTACACGAATCTAAGGTAATGCTAAATGTAAGCAAAAGCTCACTTCGGTTTTAGGCCAATCGTTTGGTTAAACCAGACATCAAAGGGTACACAAGTTTAGGTATGTAGCCGGTCCTCCAGTTAGATGCTAGGCCCCGGGGACCCTCTTCCACTACACCAGCGCTTCTACACCAAAATAAACATAGTCTCTATTCGGGACATAAACATGGAATCAAAAGAATATATACAGGTCTAATGAACCGTCAGAAAGCCTTTCCTTTTACCAGTAAAGGGCGACACAGGGTGTCTTAGCGCTGCATCTGCTGGGTCAAGGCGGCATTTTGTTCCTGGAAACGCTGGCCAACACGCTCAGAGTGCTTCAAGAACTTCTCAGCGCATCTCATGATACAGGTGTCTTCCTTGGTGGTCAACTTGTTGGAGGTGAAATCGTTGACACAGTCGGTGAAGCACTTCTCGACCAAGTTGGAGTATAATCTCATAAAGTCCTTCATCTGCTTCTGCTCAACAATCTGTTGAAATTCTTGCTGTTCCTTGGCGTTTAATTGGTCCATTTTGCGTTTATTGAGATGGAGCTATGGATGAATTGTTACAGCGTTGGATTCTTATATAAATGAGTTGCCTTCTGATTGTCGGCATGAAAAACTGGTAAAATATCCTGCATTTATTCCTTGAAAGTTTTCTTTCTTTTTTCTTCGCTAGGTCTTATTTTTCACGTTTAATCCGACTCTTCCAATTATTAGCGCTGGTGTCCTCCCAGTACTGATAACAAAATGGTCAATACGCAAAGCTACACTCAGAGAGCCGCGGCACACAGCTCCCAGGTTGCCGCGAAGTTGCTCACCTTGATGGAGACCAAGAAAACCAACTTGTGTGCATCGGTGGACGTCAACACCACCGCCGAGTTTTTGACATTGGTTGACCAGTTGGGACCGTACATCTGTCTTGTCAAGACCCACATCGACATCATCGACGACTTTTCGTTTGAGGCCACCATCGAGCCGTTGTTGGCCTTGGCTGCTAAGCACAACTTCATGATCTTCGAAGACAGAAAGTTCGCAGACATTGGCAACACCGTCAAGCACCAGTACTCTGGCGGGGTCTACAAAATTGCCCAGTGGTCCGATATCACTAACGCCCACGGGATTACCGGCGCGGGCATCGTCCAGGGCTTGAAGCAGGCCGCCCAGGAAACCACTTCCGAGCCTAGAGGCTTGTTGATGTTGGCTGAGTTGTCCTCAAAGGGCTCCTTGGCCTACGGGGAATACACCGAAAAGACCATCGAGATTGCCAAGTCCGACAAGGAGTTCTGTATTGGGTTTATCGCCCAGAGAGATATGGGCGGTAGTGCTGATGGTTTCGACTGGCTCGTTATGACCCCGGGTGTCGGCTTGGACGACAAGGGTGACGCCTTGGGCCAGCAGTACAGACCGGTCGATGAGGTCGTCTCCACTGGTACCGATGTCATTATTGTGGGCAGAGGTTTGTTCGGCAAGGGTCGTGACCCTAAGGTCGAGGGTGAAAGATACAGACAAGCTGGGTGGAACGCCTACTTGAAGAAGACTGGGCAGCTTTAGAAATGTACGCTTAAGTAGGTTTCACGCAAAGTTGTAACGAAGATGTGTAGGACAGATAAGCCGTGTGTAGGATCTTCAGTGTAAGTCGTGAACAGTGCGTGTAGGGGCTACCTTCTATCGAGTGATAATATAAAGTCAATTCTGACACTCCTAGTCAAAATACTACCTTCAGAAAAGGGAGTAGTGCCGAGTCTGGGGTAAAGCTTCCTAATCGGTAATACAAGAACGGGGTATTCTGAGGATTGAAGAATGTCCTAATCCTAGCAGATAGCTTTACCTGTACTATAGGACTTGTCGGTTCTAGGAGCCGGTAGTCCTTACGGGTTAAGTCTCTTCCAAAAGAGTTGGATTAATCCCGGAAAAACTATTTGATGAGAATACTACATCTGCAGCTGGTCGTTGATGTTAACTGGAAACATCTGTAAATGTACAAGGTTGTGGAATGATATACATGATGGGTCTATATACATGATGGGTCTATGGCTCAAGGGAGTCTTCCAACTCGTCGGCTAAACGCGTCCGTAAAATCTCAAACACCAAGAGACACACACTGGTCGTGGGGATCATCGTCAAGGCGTTGTAGGCAAACCCACGGTAGCCCCACTGGAACCAACTCAACTTTGACCTGCTCTTCGCCTTATCTACGTGGATGATAGTATCAAGGTACGACTGGTAGTACAACTTGATCTTGGGATTTTTGAAGTAGTCGATAAATGGCTGGAGCTTGGCGGAAATAGGGTGCTTGGTGGAAGGGTCGACAGCAGGCGGTGCGGGTGGGGCTGGTTTGGCTTGTTGGGCTGCGATGTCCAAGTACTCCAATCTCTTCAAGTGGATGTTCTGAACCTTGGTCAACGGATACTGAATCGCCAAGAGGACAAAAGCAGCACTGGCCCCGGCAAGCAAAATAAAGGTGGTTTGCAAAAACTTGTGGTTGCGGTTGATCTGACGGGAAGATTCAGAGGATGGGGGGTCCCTAAAGAGAATAGTGGCCTTGAGCTTTCGGTACCCATATATCATGTTCACCGTGTTGCAGAAGGCTTGGTTCTTTATGTACTCAAACGTGCTGAAATAAAAGGCAAAACCAACACTCTCTTTCACCATACTCAACCCGTATCCCGCAAAAACACCCGTCACCCCAATCTCCTGGAGCTTTTTTAAGCCGTACTGCCAGTACGTGGTGTTGTGGATACCCCCCGACAAAACCTCCAGCGCGCTGGATCTGGCCTGGATGGCGTCAATAGGCGCAGCCGCTAGTGACTGGGCAAATCCTGCCAAGAAGCCTGCCCGGAACGTGTCCAACGGGCTAGGGTATACCAGGGTGCCGACTGTGTGTTTGTCGCTTAGCGCCTGGAGCGAGCCGAGGTACGTCGTGTATAAGATTACGCCCGTGGCACTGTTGAGAATCAAAGGCGGCATGACATGCTTGGGAATATACAGCCAACCGTGGGCCTTTACAGCACTGGTGAGGATGGCCAACGACGAATGGGTGAAGAAGCGGTAGGGCTTGTCCTTCAAGGAGTCGCGAAACATCAACCTAGTGGTGGCAAGGTAGTCAAATCGCGAGGGTCTGAAGAGCTTGGCGGGTGTACGGAGGTAGAGGGCAGTGATCTGGGTCATGATGGCACGGATACCGGCAGTGGAGGCGCCGACGACTCGGGTGTTTTTGGTCGATAGCGTGGACTGGGCATTTGCATCTTTAGAGTCTCCTGTTAGAGCGTCGAAGGAGTAGTCCTCTATGTTCCTAACATCCATGGTATTGGGGCATGTATGTTTATCGAGTTGGCCTCTGCTATCTTAGCCAAGAGATACAGAGATCTCTCATAGCCGCAGCATTAAAGCTGTACTTTAGGCCTATATGTAAGAATTGTCCGGCACAGTATATTTCGGCCCCGGGATCAAAACAGCGCTGGGAGGCGGGGTTCTGGCGGGACCTGACGAAAGGAAATGGTTATATTTTTTTAAAAATGATATAGGGCTTAGATTTCTAATATGGCAAATTTTTCCGCCTGAAAAAGGTAGATGTGCTACTTTGTTAATACTGTGGTATTGATGCGTAATAAAATTTATTAATGAATATACCAATATATCCATTGGTGCATTTACCTTAGATACGGCACCCGGTACGTATTAACACTAGACAAACGCTATAACTAACTGAATAATACTAAGCTTTATCTGGCATAAAATAAACTGTAAACCATGCTAGTGGGCCTACTTCCTAGTCTATGGACTTTGGCATGTTTTGCCACTGTCATGCAGCCTTCAGAAGCCCTAGTTATAATATTTCTGGGCCTATGAACTTTTTTTCATGGCATCCTGCACCCTTCTGATCAGTATAAAAGGGGCCCGTCCGCCTCCCTGCTTTCTAACGGTTTGGAACTTTCCTTTCTTTGTCGACGTACTTCATAGGATCATTTCTATAGTTTACGTCCCTCTTTGACTCTTC